ATCAGTCTTAATAATCTTAAAGAAACAGGGTGGGAGGGTGTGGACTGGACTCATCTGGCTCATAATAGGGGAAAATTGTAGATTATGACCAAGGTAATGACCTTCAACTTACATAAATGTTGGTAAGCTCCTTGACTAATTGAGGGTCTACGAGTTCCAGAAGTTAGTGGTCACAACTTGAACAGGGAACAAGACGTCAGCTTCCCGAACATGGCGTTCCTCAACTCTTTCGCTAGACCTAGATAAAATAACTTAAGAGGCTGTAATGTTGGTATTATTGATGGGGAGGATAACTGCATCCATTCGAGTGTTGATTCGGAGAAATAAACCTGCATCAACTGAAAATGTGTATTTGTTAACGATGAAAGTCATGAGATATTTAGTTTCAAATTTGTTGGAGTTTGAAGTGCGAGGTCCGGTCTGCAAAATAAATGCTGCTTTATTAGCCTACTTTCCTTATTTAGAAAAATAAAAGTAGGTTCATGCGATCACCTTGCTGTCTGTGTATCTGTGTGTATCCCCCCTACAAACGTTGGAATGCCTGAACCGATCTTTATGAAACGTGGTATGTATATTGTCGCGTGTCGGGCGTATATCGCGACAAATAAATTATCGATGTACTCGATGTAGCGAATTTTATTTCACACTCGCTCTTACAATCACCCAAATTACAATCTGACGATTACTGCTATCTGCAGTATCACAAATAGTGCACTCCAAATGCCACAATACAACTGACTGGTTGCTGGCTAACTCGACGATAGGTCCAGGACTCGCTGACTGACTCAGTACAACGCTGCGGTAGCCACACTAGAACTGACTGTGAATAGCCTTCGCTGCTCCGTATGTAGCCTCGATCGGACAGTACGGGAAAACGGCCACGCAATAGGCACCCTTTTTGCCTGGCGCTGTGTTGCTATGTAACGCTAGCGGAGGTCACCGCTGTTACTATCGTAACGTCGCCGCTGTTGATTCGCGTTGCCTAGCGACCGCGATATCCCTCGGTGACGTCACCGCGGAGGGGAGTGGCGGGGCGGGAACTCGCCTATTACCGTAGTAACGCGAGCGTTACGTTACGGCCACGTACCGCTGGGGAGGTAGGGGTCGACATGTCACAATATCATGACAACTGAGTCTATCTCAACGACATAATTTATAAATCACTCCCATCGGGAATACCAACATTACAGACCCTCAGATTTCTGGGACACACATTTAATATAAGTCCTGTACCAGTCTTCATGAAACTTGGAAAGTATGTCATGCAACATGAAGACATCTCAACGGCTTACTTTATAATTCGCTTCGATCAGTAATACCAACATTACAGCCTTTAGAGTTGCTGAGGCAAATCCTCAATATTACCTGCGTGCCTGTACCAGTCTACATGAAACTTTGTACATATATCATGCCACCTGAACCAATTTCAATGGCGCAATTCACAAATCCCTCCATCAGTAATACCAACATTATAGCATTTCAAATTATTGAGCCAAAAAATTAATATTGCTTGAATGCCTGCACCGATCTTCACGAAACATAGTGTATATATCATGCCACATGAAGTCATGTCAACAGCATACGTCATAAATCCTTCTCAGTAATACCAACATTACAGAATTTCAAATTACTGAGACAAAAACTTAATATTGCTTGAACGCCTGCACCGATCTTCATGAAACTTAGTGTATATATCATGCCACGTGAAGTCATCTCAACAGTGCACATCATAAATCCTTCTCCTCAGTAATACCAACATTATAGTCTCTTAAACTCTAATACCCTTAATATTATTCGAATTCCTGACTCGTTCGTCATGAGACTTGGCATGTATATCATGCCACCCGAGGCCATCTCAATACTACAGCCTCTGAGACAGTGGAAGTTAGCACACTTAATATTACCTGAATTCCTCAACAGATCGTCTCAGGCCCGAACAGCCCGGACGGCCAGGCAGAGTGGGAAGGATCTGTGAAGAAGTTATGATTTTTATACCACCTTTCTGTCATGGATTTTACTTTTGAGAAAGTTCCTGCTTCGCCTTAACCTGATTTAGCCCATTGTGACGTCTGGTTGTTCCCAGAGATGAAAGATTCACGTCAAGGGACCTTAGAGCAGTTAGTACTGAAGAAACTTCTGACAAGAAAGAGTTCCTACATGTTTCGAAACTTGTATATACAGATGACAAATAGGACGACCTCTAAAAAGAAGGGGCTACGTATATCAGAAGATGAAAATGTTTCATGGGGTCTGGTTTCGCTATTGTTTGTGCAATAAAATCGTCACTTTCCAAATGCATCTTGTACTTTTACACAGGGTTAAATGGTCCCAGCTCATCCAGATGTAGAAACTGACTATGTTTTAGAAATGTCTTAAGAATTCTGATTTCTCAGGTTACTTTAGTCTTTCATGAATCGGGGAAACTTCCTTATAATAAAACAGGGGCCTATTTTTTTTCAAAGTGCGTAATCTGAACGCATATCCATGTATTTATTTTCTCATGTTCGAGCTCCGAAACCACTCTTCGAATTTCGATTAAATTTGATATTAGGAAGTTTTATGACGTCACCCTTAATTTGGTAAACAGGTATGAACGTTTCGGAGGAAGCCCTCTAGACGAAAGTAGCGGGTTCTCCGAAACACTGATATCTTCAAACTACACGTCGTCAAATCCCAGAAGACCGTAATCTACATATTCAATGTCGTGAGAAACTGAAATCTCACTTTTATGCCTTTCATTTTCTCTGATGTCCACGTACATTGTTCCCCAGATAATTCGGTTGGCTTTAGTCTAAATAATGGCGCAGGAGAGCTGAAGGCTGAGTGGAAAAATACATATTTATTAATAAATAAATAAATATCATAGCTATTGACTGATATATCGCAATTTATAACGAAAAATAACATGTAGTTAGTATGAACAGGTTTTCAAAACAGAATATATATTTGGTCGCTGTAAAAATGTGAATTAAATCCATTACCATTTTTTTTCGAAGTTTTTAAATCAGAGTACGCCACGCGCTAACTAATTTGATAAACTTTTGCCGGTCTGAGAGGGGAAAAGATTTATATCTGCAATAATAGAATTATTTCATTAATAAATAAACATCGAGGTCCCTGGGTAAGGCAAAATGGCAAAGAACACATCTGGAAAATATGCACACGTATGAACTCCAATCTGGCGTATACTTCCGTTCTTGTTTCTGCCAGAGAACGCTATACAAACCCACAAAAGAGATATACTGTATAAAAAACAGCAGAACATTGACGTAGGTTTCATTACAGTAACGCGACCGGGGCTAGCATAGTTAAACCACCGGCCAAATTGAATTTGAATTTATCATGCAAGCTGCAGCAGTGCGCTCTGCGTACGATTTATATATTTGAAAGTGAAACAATTATGTTGAAATATACTCTCGAAAATTGCATTTGCGATTTTGTTTCCTTCAGCTTCAAGTCTGGAAACACAGATTGTGGCAGATGGACAGGCAAACATGTTACTCTTGTGTGCGCATTGTTTTCACCCCAAGTTCACTAGCTCCACCCATGGCACCTGCAATTTCAGAGCCCCGTTAAATCCTTCATTTCTCTGAAATACGTATATTTTCAGGGCATTAATATTCGTATGGTCTAATAAGTTTATCTTCGTAGACACGTAATATGACATTGAACAATAGGGACTTGATTTGGACAAACGGATCTTAAAAATCCCAACTAAAGATATTTGTTTTAAAAAAAGCCACTTCAGTGTAAATTCTTGTGCGCGCTTCTTTCTCAGAGGCTCAACATGTAAAGTCAGACGTGCCCAGTTGCATTGTCACAATACGGACGAGCGTTTTATTATCTCCATCATGTTAGGAAATGAGTCCAACGGCAGCGCGGAGGGATATCTTGGCGCGGTCTTCCTGTTCCAGGCGATGGCGGGTCACGTTTGTAAGCCGAGACGCGGCGCGAATGAGAATGTACCGACGAGCGGGGTGCTTGGCCTTGCTCCTGCAGTTTGCCCTCACACTCCGATGACTCACTGAATCTTCTACTTTAGTGCGTTTCGGATGAGACTTAGGAGTTCGTCTATTCTGAGATTTTGCTGCGCTATGCACCCCCTTCTCAGGGTGCCTATAGAGCAGGAAATTCAATTGTCGGCCCGTGGTCAAAATGCAGTCCACTAGTGTGCTGTGGAAGAACCGCGACAAATACGACCACTCTCCATCTAAAATCTGTCACTGCACTTGAGCATCGCATCATGAATATATATGAGGAAGTGGGGATGAAGATCCACACGTTCCTAACCTCGGCACTAGAACGTGATGAGTGGTCAGACACGGCAATTTTACTACCGGGGGAAGATCCTTCGTACCTGTTACATAAGAGCTTTTAGGTGCTGTGGGAAAAGTGCTCCACTCCTCAGATTTCAACCAATCACTTTACAAACTGAGCCGTCTCAGCTCAGTATAAATAAATTCATACAGTGGTATATCGATTAACAGGAGACGGAGATCCACGTCTCCCAGAGTCGTGAGTCCTGCGAGATTCAAAACCAAGAATGACTGTGCTGGCGAAGGCCGGCAGCGATTTACCTGCTGACTGATATTTGTTAGCAAACCATAGAATCGATTTAAAATTTGAGGTTTTCACTGCGGTGACTATGAAGAATGCCATTTTCTTGGATGTGGCGTAGTGTAGATCTTATGTGAACCGACGTTTCGGGAATTTCGGGAACGTCGGTTCACACAAGATCTACACGGCGCCACATTCTTCAGAAAATAGATATTATCTTCAATTCAGAACTTCGCGAAATGTATAACAGCTATGTTAGAGCACTCTGCATTAGTTTGTGAGTTAATATATCAAACGGTTGAGTGTATCCTACTTTCTGGCCTGTTCCCATTCAGAATTCGTCTGAAACTAAGAATCCCACAGGAGTCGGTGGGGCTCCTTGGGCTGGGGACGTATCCGGTAATGCTAGTGTGAAAGCAATGATATTTGTATCATGAACTGACCTTCCTCATCACTCCCGATCATCGAGTAGCGATCGAAGCCGGAGAGATTCCTGTGTGTGCCCAGACCGAAGTCGTCCTTAGTCCACTGGAGCACTCCCGTCTTGTTGATGATACGACACGGCAGCGTGACGCGGCTGCCGACGATGGCCGTCTGATCTTGAGGTTCCATGGCGAACCTCTGCTCCACACCTACGAGGGGCTCCACCGCGGCCATCAGCAACACCAGGAGCCTGAACACCCGCGCCATGGCCCTGCAACGTCACGAGATTAAGTTATGAGCTTCAGTTCTTCGATAGAAATGACGGTATAATGGCGAAGTTATGTCTGTCCATTAGTCAGTTCGCATGTTTCTGCTACATGACCACTCTGAGGATTTCGATTAAATTTCATATTGAGCGTCTACGCTAAACGTTTGAGGAGCCGGGACACCGTAGACGGTATAGCGACTGGCCTTGGGCTGGGCGACAGAGAGGTCGGAGTTCGAGTACCGGTAGGGTCATGAATTTTCTTTTCTCCAAATGGTCCAGACTGGCTCTAGGGTCCACCCAATGGGTATCGGGGGCTCTTTTCCCGGGGGGTAAAGCGATGGGGCGTGAAGCTGAACACTCACCTCAAACTAGTGCCGAGGTGAAGAAAATGTGGATCTGTACATCCACTCCCACATAGGCCTTCATGGCGTAGTGCTTAATTCGTTGAGCACAGGGACAACTTTACCATTTTACATTAAACGTTATGAGGCAAATTTTATTTTGGTCCCTACTTGCCTACCCATAATCACAGTGGTAATTACGACTTGTTCCACAAAAACTGGTGCATGCAAAATGTAGATGTTTAGAATATTATATTTAAGCATCCTGTTGCACTCTATACGATAAATGATATAAACTCCGTCCCAAGTGCAAGGACATACAATATATCGTAGATGTTTAGATTTTCAACTTTTATAACAACCTAAATATACTGTGACGGTATTGGTTGTGATCCATGCTGTTCTGTAGGTGAATACCGACGTTTCGGAGGAAAATGCTGCTTCAGTGTTCAGGGATGAACCGTGAGGTTGGAGATAGAATGTTCTTCCAAAATGTCGGTATCCGATTACAAGAATACACGGTGTCACAACTCAAAATGACCACAGTACGAAATATTACCTCGATGAAAATCTTAAGGTTTGTAGTGTAAATAGAGCTGATGTAAATTAATAATTTAATTAAAAATAGGCTTTATGATAAATATGCATTTTACTTGAAAAACCTGAATTGACGAGATAAATTAGGATGCCAGGGTAGAGACTGAAAGATATTATAATGAATCTTAAATGTAAAAGTAAACTTGCCCCTGTGCTTAACTAATTAAGCACTACTCCATGAAGACGTATGGGGGTGTGCATGTATAGATCCATATTTTCTTGACCTCGGCACTAGTTGGAGGTGATTGGTCAGTTTCACGCCCCAGCCGCTTTACCCCTAGGGAAATAGCCCCAGGTACCCACTGGATAGGAGTTTGGAGAGTCGTTCTGGACGACATGGAGGAGTGAAAATTCTTGACACTATCGGGACTCGAACTCCGACCCCTCGGTAGTCCAGCCTGTTGCCAGTCTCTATACCGACTGCGCCTCCCGGCTCCATTACAATGAATCTTAAAGACAGAATATATGAGGTGGTTCAGCTGGCTCAAGATAGTGTCCACTGGAGGCCTTTTGTGAACATGATAATGAACCACTGGGTTCGATATAAGGCATAGAATTTGTGGACCACCTGACGGACTTTCTGCTTCTCAAGAAGGACAGTGCTCCACATAGTTGTGCATTTCATAAGTGCCCACTAGAAATGTGAAGAAGGGACATAGCTGCGAGATAAGTGCAGTGGAAAGCACAAGTATAGACCAGCATTATCGCTACTACGATCCAAAGATGCAGCAGCAGACGCGGCTCCACTGCTTCCAAATATCAGGGCCATACCCACACTGTAGACGGAAACAAATTCCTAAAACTACTCACGAGATATGAATATATAGTTGAATTTTATTGCTTAACGGAAAACCCACATCGCCCAATGTGGGGCTCGTGCAGGGAGCTCGGAAGTTTAATTATCATGCAAATTGAAGAGACAAACAATTGATTTCATGATCGGGTCTGTAATGAATTCAATAATAAATTCGTCGGATCCGGTGAAGTTAATGGAGTGGTGTCTGTTTTACTTTCACTGGAATTTAAAAGTTTACATCCGTAAAACTCAGAAACCTAACTGATTAAAGAAGCTAATATCCCAACCGCTGCAGCTGAACCTGACCAATCCAACTCTTGAAGTGTATATCTGTTCTGAATACCGACGCAAGGGGAGGCACGGAAAATCCGTAGAACTTAGTTCTGGAAGCTGGCAGGTTGTTCTTTCATTAATCGACGTTTTACCAGTTGCTTCATCATCTGTGTGTGGTCGAATAACGGATAGTTGTGGATGGATATGAAGAGAGAAAGGCCGTGACCTGTTTTAACGTATCATTTTAACATTTGTCTGAAGAGCTACAGAAAGAAAAAAAAAAGGAAGAAATTCAGTATGACAGCCAGTCTCTGGACAGAATTGTGAGTCCTGAAGGAGATCAACAGGAAAACGGGAAAGGAGACAGTAGGAATAGTAATAATGAAGGCAAAGTTGTCACCGTGCTTAACTAGCTAAGAACTACGCCATGAAGACGTATGGGGGAATGGTGTATTGATCCACGTATTCTTGACCTCGGCGCTGGTTAGAGATGAGTGGTCAGCTTCACTCCATGGCCGCTTTATCACCGCGAAAAGAGCCCCCGGTACCAATTTGATAGGAGGCTAGGTGAGCCCCAGAACCGGTCTGGAAAACGTGGAGGGGAAAAAACCATGCCCCTACCGGGGCTCAAACTCCGACCCCTCGGCCGTGCAGCCCCGTAGCCAGTTGTTACACCGATTACGCCATTCCGACTCAGTATGATGATGATAATATCAATAATTTACAACTGTGATTATGGTGTCAATAATTATAATGAGTGTAGTTGCAAGACAGCTACGAAGATAATGAGTGTGTTGTGAATGCGTGTGATGATGATTGTGACGTTTTAGGTTAGGGCCTCGTTTTTGGCGAACACATTTTCCCCGGGACAGTCCTAGAAAAGCATTTTGTTGGTTAGACAGCTCTAAATGCTATGGCAACATCACCGTCAATGTATTGCAGGTACTTGTATTTATTAACTCTACTGAAGAAACTAAAAATTTAATTCAGTTCTTTATTATTTATGTTTCGAGTCAGCAGCTACGAGGCCAGTTACAGACACGGCACAGTGCAGACCTAACTAGCACAGCATGGATACTAATAAGATATCAGCACGGCGTAGCTACCGGTAACTCCATTGTTATCATAACTCTACGGCCCTTTGTTGGACCTTGGCCGCTTGTTCTGCGTTTCTTGATCCTATACACGGTCGGTATGACTCCTTGGGCGGGGGATCAGCCCGTCGCAAGGTCTCTACCTAAACAAAGAACAACACAAACACAGAATAAACACACACAATACAGACATCCATGCATTCAGTGGGATTCGAACCCATTTTCCCAGCGTTCGAACGAGTAAAGACAGTTCATGCCTTAGACCGCGCGGCCACTCCATTAGAGAGAAAGAAAAGCATAAAACCATCAGCCACAAGGCCAACGGCACACTGGTAAACTACTGTAACGTAACAACAAAACAAAACATGACATAAGGTAACATAACAACACAAAGTAACATAATATAACATGTTTTAATTCAATAATAATAATAATAATAATTGTTTCTTATAGTGGAATAGCATATCTGTAACTCCTGTGACATTCATGAAGTGCCAGGACCGATTTCCGTTAAGACACCGGTACACTGACAGGAGTTTTCTGGTTCCACTCACACCCTCTAAATTAACATGTCTTAAAATAGGCCACGAATGCTTACTTCACATCCGTCTAAATCCTGAATTCCTTACCACTCTAATGTAACATATTAGAAGCAGCTCAACCGTTAACACGGTTGCAAACAGGGGATCCGTTTTACCATAAGGTTAGTCATCACCTCTTCAAGAATCCGCCACTGGTTCCTACCCTGGGTCAAATGGATCAATCTCAGACCCTCATATTCTGTTTCATAAAATTCCACTTGAATATTATCCTCCCGTCCATGCTTGGGCTTCCCAAATAGTCTCTTCCTCTCAGATTTTCCGATTAAAAATTTTAGTGTATTTATCAGCTTCCTCATGTGTGCTACATGTCTCGCCCATCTCATTCTCCTTTAGGTAATCAGATTAACAATATCGGGAGTATAAATTATGAAGCTCCTCAATAAGCATATTTCTCCGACCTCATGTCGCTTCCTCCATTTTAGGTCCAAATATTCTCCACACACTTTTTTCTCAGACACTCCAAGTCAATTATGAACGGTTGATTTGTAAATATTTCTTAACATTTTTACAATTGGACGGACTTGTCTTTTGTAATTGTAACTATTAGTGTGACGGACCAAAATGAAACAAATCAAATTTCTTAACATTTTTGTTTCCACGTCCTGAATAAATACTGAAATTAACGCGTTGGGAACACTGGTTTGTGTGCGCCAATCTGTGGTCTCTATATAAGCCCATGTTCTCTCGTCTAAAAGAGAGGCCGAAATTGAAATGCGCGGTTTTTTTACGTACCGTAGCTGAGGCGGCATCATTTCCGGCTAGTTCCCGCGTGATCCACCAGAACCCGCCACGTAGCCGATAGTTGCAATCAGCCCGGGTTCAGTGTCACGCAGTGTCATATTTCCGAGTTTGTGTGTGTAAGATATCGTGTGGTCATATATTTGTACGCGACGTGAATATCTTTCTGTTTACTACAGAAACCACGTTATGTACTGAGAGTGCATCAGCGAGTATCCGTAAATACAATTCAAAGGAAACTGCTGCTTTTAACGTAAAGGAGGGTTGAACACATTTCGACATAACCAACAAATCCACGAACAGGTAAACAACTTCGTAACAAATTTTCTTTGTTCTTACTGAAGGTCACGTTCCGTGATATGAAGTATTATTTTCAGGAATCGAACTGTGACTCTGTATAATGACGAGGATTAATCTTCTTTTTCTTCTTCTTTTGTCCTTGGCACTACAGCCCAAGTGGGCCTAGGCCTACCTCCATGAACTTCTCCGTTCACTTCGGTTTTCCTAGATCTTACATATTCGGTAGGACTCCTTGGGCAGGTGATCAGCTCGTCGCAAGGCCTCTACCTGTACACAAACACAGAAAAACGCACACACAAACTAAACATCCATGCCCTGAGTGGGATTCGAACCCACGATCCCGGTTTCCAAGCGAGCGAAGACAGTACATGCCGGATTAATCTTTAGCTTCTACATTTCCAGTTAGGTCTGATTGTGGGGTATGCTGCCAATCAAAATGGCCGCGCAGTCAAAGGCATGAACCGTCTTCGCCCGCTCGAACACTGGGATCCTGGGTTCGAACCCCACTCAAGACATGGAAGTCTGTGTGCGTTTATTCTTTGTTTGTATCCTGTGTGTAGGTAGCGGCCTTGTAACGAGCTGATCCCCGTCCAAGGGGTCCTACAGACTGTGTATAGGATTAAGAAACTGAAAAAGCGGCGAAGATCCACAAGGACTGTAGAGAGACAGAGGCATAGAGGAGCGTATGTAACTAACATTCATTGATATGAATGAGATCTGAGGTAGATAACAATGTTTCCAGTTACAGGAGTGACCAAATTTTCTCTTAAGGAAAATATTTTTTTTTCCCCCGTTGCATTTCTAGATGATATAAGACATGAATCTATAAGTATACAAAAATGGAAGATAAATGTAGATGAGAATACATTTTCCAAAGTATATTTTAATCCTGAGACTGGAAGGTCACTCTTAACAGTTCTGCACATTAACCGGAATTCGTTGCCCTGAACTGAGGTGAAACTGGGCCCCTTGGGACTAAGATCTCAAATGGAAGTGAATTTGAATCGGGTTTCGGTTGCCGGAGGGACAGCGCGTTTCATGAACCGAGTTTTAGATAGTAAAATGGTGTTAGGCATCTGTCACTACTCTGACATGAGTAGCACATATGTGGTGCGTAAGGCACGTAAGGAATTTTGCGATATATAGTAGTTCATTGAGCATACGTTAAGTAAAAGTAAATAAAGCTGTCCCTGTAACAGGCCGTGAAGGCCCAAAGGGTTGTGAGATGTTGAGGGTCCCACATTATCTAGACAATCGGCTCAAAGATGGCGGTAAGGTTGTCAGCATTACGCGCTGGCCGCGCTTTACTCCCCAGGAAAATTATTTCATTCATTCATGATACTCATTTCTGTTAGAGGCTGAGTCGACCCCAGGGCCATAGTGCGGCCGGAAGGATTAGGTCAATTGAAAAAAATCCAGTGACCTCATCGATACTTGAACCCGCGACCTTCCGGCTTGTAGCATAGTGCCTCAACAACCTACGATACCGCGTGCCCCATACGTTAAATAAATGTTCAATACGTTATGTAAATGTTCATGCAGACATAATTGCCAATCACAGACCTTCAAATGTCATGAAACTTGAGATTTACAGTTGGAAAAGTGATTTATTTCCTTATGTGAGTTTTCGAGACGTGGGAACAGCACGCCAGACAACCAACGCGAAGACCACACTCGTACCACCGGTGGCAACAGTGAGAAACGAGGATGTTGTTGGTGATCAAAGTTACAGATTCTCAATTTACTAATGCTCCGATGAAGACGAACTGTAGAGAGACATTGAGTCGCGAGAGTTATGCCTATCGATAACATGACGCGAATTAGAATTAATGTCTGTATAGAATGCAGACCATGTGCGGAACAAGCAACGTACGTCGTGCAGATGCGAGGCAGCAGACAGAGATGATTATTTTTAGCGAGTTGGTGGTCATGGTGATGGTAGTATTGTACCACTAGTAGTAGAAACCCGAATGTGACGAATGGGTGGGTGCCATTCCTGCATCGTATTCGAGAGACATCAGGGTGATCCTCGATCCGAAGATAGACCATCCGGGTAGATATTTCGTGCTTTTCTTCAGTCCTTGAAAAAATTCAGGATGATACCTCAAATTAATATCTAATTGATTATTTACTGATCGGTAATAGTAGTAGTAAACAGTTGCAGTAGCAGTTTCAGTGTTTATTTATTTCACAGTGTCAGCTTGTGCTATAATAATTCAGTCCAATAACTGCACACGGTTTGAGAACTATAGGGGAGTGACATGTATGACAATTGACTTTTCATGGCAATAATACCTTGACATTTTGAAACTGTCTGTATTTATTATTATTAATATGAGTAGTAGTAGTAGTAGTAGTAGTAGTAGTAGTAGTAGTAGTAGTATGGGACCTGTGTTTTCCATGTGTTTATTAATGACTGATGCGATTATCCGCTGTATCTACTTTTTACTGATAATACTGGGTACAGGCTGGGCGACGGAGGGGTCGGAGTTCGAGTCCCGCTCGGGTCATGAATTTTATCTTCTCCACGTCGTCCAGACCGATTCTGTGGCCCACCCAGCCTCCTATCCTATGGGCACCGGAGGCTTCACTACTCACCTCCAACTAGTGCCAAGGTCAAGAAAATATGCATCTATACATCCACTCCGTGAACGGAGAAGTTCATGGAGGTAGGCCTAGGCCCAATGGGGCTGTAGTGCCAAGGAAAAGAATACATCCACTCCACCATACGTCTTGATGACGTAGTGCTTAATTAGTTAAGTACAGGGACAACCTCACCTTTACATTACTGATAATATCAAAGTCTAGTGTGTCAATAATTCTTAATGTTTCCAATATATTACAGTCTGAGGTTTATTCTGCAGGAGACCGGTTCATTATACGAAACTCACCATTAGTGGAACCAAAGCTATATCCTCAAGAAAACATACTGATCTAGGAATATGAATTTTGGCGATGCTTTAAACTCGTACCAACTATGTTAAAAACCCGACATTAAATTGCTATTTTCTCGAAAACGGTTCTAACAATTTCGATCAAATTTAAGAAATTTACAGTGACCATCTCTATAAATAGAACTGCATAGGTAGTGTCTTCAGGAAAATAACGGAACGCCTTATAGCGGCCCATATATGAAATGTATATTTTCTTGAAAACGCGTCCACCTCTTTACATTCAATTTCAATCATCGTTAAAGGAAATGAACCGAAATAATAGTTTGTAGTCCAGAACATCTTGAACGTAAGAGATTGTCTTAATATAATAGAAGGTTCTTATTCATCGGGCGTGTTTTACAACTGTGTGCAATATCTTCGCAAAGATTTCTGTGTTAAGGAAGGCATGATCCCATTTTCCGTGCTACACTTGCATCTCTGGATCTTCACACCCGCAGCTCCATCAGCGTAATTTCTGAACCTGTAATGTAGCTCCTTTCACAACCTCTTTCCTCAGTCTCTTTGATCTTTAATTGAAACAATTATTGATGTTGTGTCTGTTGTAGGCGTGTGTGTGTGTGTGTGTGTGTGTCAGTAATTATTGATGTATTACGGACTCCTTGTCTTCACTGTCAGGCCTTCTTCTACGGCGGTATCCAATAGTACAGCGTGTGTATATGACGGCACTAATTACACATATACATACACAGACACATACAAATGCAACTTTTCTGTTTCTTGTTTTCCACCGGGAATGTAACAGAGTACATACAAAAATATTATGTAATTTACTCCGCACGCTAGCCAATATAGTGACACTGTAGCCACAGCTGTTAAAGCAACGTACAAATGTTGTGGTAGCGATTCTGCACGGTATTCGATCGAATCCTCTTTTCAGGCTTCTTTTCAATACATGATTATACTTCGAGAGCACCGCCTCTGTGGTCTAGTGGTCACCGTTCCTGGCTACAGATCCAGAGGCCCGAGTTCGATTCCTGGCGATACCAGATTTTTTCTGAGAAGTAGTGGGTCTGGAATGGGGTCTACTCAGCCTCGTGATGATAATTGAGGAGCTATTTCAAGGAAATGGTAGCTCCGGTCTAGAGAATCGAGATTAACGGCAGTGGGGATTCGTTGCGCTGACCACGCGACACCTTCTATCCGCAAATTTGGCACTAAACTTCGCCGACAAGCGGAGGTCGCTCGGTCGGTGTAGTTCGCTTGCTGACTAAAATCACGGAAATTACAATTCGATTTGTTTGTTACACTGTCAAAGGTTAATTTACTATATACTGTGATGTTGCCAATGAAAACAACCACATCGGAGCAAAGAGCGGTGCATGCACTTGTTTCATAAACCAAAGAACACAAAATAAAATCGTTTACCGGGAGTTACTGATTAACGGAAGGAGAAATACAGTTAAGTTCTTAATGCAATTAACACTTATTGTTCCTGTGCCTCCAGTTATGTTCCTTTTCTCTAAATAATAACCCTGCATTCTGTACACGTTCAACCTGTACCACTCCAGAGTCGTTTTCTAGGGGTGTTTTCTTTGAATCTCGCTCCTGACTGATGGTTTCTTGTACTTTCCCTCAGTGTCTCTGGGCAAATTCAGTGGGTAATGATTACAGTTGTACTTAGAAGTCATCTGTGTGGACGATGGCTAGAGTGTACTGACAGGACAACAACTTGGGTGGTGATAACACACATGTACTCACATGACATGGTGTGAGCTGTGGTTACAAAAATACTGACAAGGTAACCAGTGTTTGCCAAGACTAGAAAACGTCTGTATGCATTCCACGTATCCTGTCCAAGCGTCTGCCCAGCTCATCTTAGCCTCGTAAAGTTCACCCCCGCAGCAGCGCTAGACGGCACGCACTGTCTGGACGCTCCACGCCGAGGAACATCCAAAACTGCTCACTTTATCCTAACCAAGTTCCGATATTTCCTTACGTACTTTCACTATTTTCTTCCGTGTTCTCTTACTGGACAGTACATGTTTCGGCATAACTGGCCATCTTCAGGTGTACAGGTTGTAATGGTTAAGGGTTCCGCTGCTCACTGTA